CACTCTCTGTCCGGGCGTCCGGACTGCGGGTTCTTGTATTGATGAAAATGTCCGGCTTTTCATCCAGGAGCAGGGATTGAATTATGGGGGAGCTGTATATCCTACACATCCAGGGAGCCGGAAAAAAGTTTTCTATATTATATCATTTATGGACTCTTTTGAGCAGAGAGCACAAGAGCGGCACAGCGCGTTGTAGCGCAGCGATCCAGGCTGCTGCTTCCAGCGCACGGTCCATTCTCAAAGTGGCGCAACCAAAAAACTATAATTAACACACGATCGTTCATGTCTGCACATGTTCTCTACTTTCTGTCTTATTTGTGCCTGAAGCGCTGTACTGCTGCGGAGCTCATCACCTGTGCTGCGGTGATTTCACCTCACACAGCATCGAAAACGCGCTCTGCGCTTTTCGGTCAGGAGATCTCTTTGATCTGCTCAAAAGTAACTGATGAGGTGAAAAGGTAAGAATCCAGGCAGCAGATTTTCTGGAGAGTTTAGAGGAGATGCAGGAAGATGAGAGACAGACAGGACAGGAAATAGTTCAATAAAAACAAGAAAACAAAGCTAAATGTAGGTAGATTTATCTCCACTACACGTTTTTACCTGCATAAAACAATAAGTTATACACATGTCATATTTATACATCTGATACAATTCAGATCACCTTCAAAACTCAGTCACACACCCAGGGCCGTTTCAAGATTTTGGGGGCCAAGGCAAAATGCCCCCCCCCCCCCCCATAGCTGGGCTCCCCAGAAGCCTCTGTGTAATCCATACCCTCTCCAGGAGTGTTAGTTATACAGTGTTTATAAAAGCCCCTCAGACATCGCTGACATGTTCTAATATTATCAGATGAAAAACTAAATTATCAGACATGCTGTCTCATCTGCTGCTTTTCTAAACTTGCTAAAAGTAGCTAAACCATTTGAAAGCCACTATTTGTGGATTCTCTGAAAGTTTCCATGGAGTGTGGGACAACTTATGTTATCAATGATCCTATCGTCTAATCTCACAGCTGAAACAAGCACCCTTAATAATCTGTGCACAGGAAGCTTACCGATGCTGTAGTAAAACAAAAGGTATAATAATTTATTATTAATAAAACCTTGTTGCAGCACTAAAGCATAAAAATGAGATTTTGCAATAAATATGCTAAATATTCACATATGAATTGTTTTAGAGCCCTTTTATTGGCAGAATCTGATATTAATTTAGTTCTTACAAAAAAATGGGTCCCAACATGGTTTGTGTGGTGTTGCCATAGTGTGATGTCATAGGCACAGATCCCCTGTCCTCTTGTTTGGAAATGGAAATATGGTCACCCTACATTAAACAAACTGTCCACCCGGGCTTTTGCGCTGCACAGAGACGCTTCGCTGCCTACGACTGAACGTCAGTTGAGAGTCAGTCTCATGCAGACTGACCAATGAAGAGAGGGCCTCTAGTTAAGACCCTCTCCTCATTGGTCAGTCCACACGAGGTGGGTCAAAGGTTACTCTGGGCGGGTTACGTGTTGTCAGGCATTCAAGTATTGAGTATATTTACTGCATATTACAGTAAAATATTCTGTATGTGACCACATTATGGTGATCCTCGGGTCGTGATGATGGAGCCCTTGAATATTGTTGCCCAGGGTACAACAAAGTGTTAATCTGGCCCTGGTTCTGCCGTCACATTCCCGCTGAAACTGGTTGATCACACCGGGGCCAGACTACTAGCATGTGGTTTTACAACCACAATGTCCTCAGAAGCGAAAACGCTTTTAAAAGGGAGGGAGGAGTCCTAACTGTTGCTGCAGGCGTGTTGTGTGAGAGTGCAGTTATAAACTGGTTAATATATTTTTGGGTTCAGTTGCTTTCATGTGGCCTAATGTGAGTCTATTTGGGATCATTGGAATGATCAGCAGCATTTCTTGATGTGACTTTATGGCAGTTGCCCAGGGCATCATCACAAGGAGGGTGGCATTCATTTACTTTTGTTTTATTTGGTATTTTTTCAGTCATTTTTGGAAATAGTGATCGATTTTGATTAATTCACAGCCTATGTTTAATTACATTTAAAAATGAGTTGTTTGACATCCCCAGTTATAATAAATGTCAACAGATGAGATCAAACAAAACAGATGAGAATTGCCCTTACGCTGTTTAACTTGGACCAAGCGTTTTAGGTCACAGATAGATGTAGCTTAGGGTCTCTGTCTATACACCTTATAAGACAATTTAGGTGATGGCATGTTGTTTTTCTGCTACTGAACTGTTTTCTAATAATGTTGTGTTAAATAAAGTGAAGGAAGGAGAGAAATAACGTTTCCCTAGCAGTTTTTAAAAATTTCCTCATGTAATCCGATTAATCGATTAATCGTGTCGAGACCCCATCCAATTCATCGATTATCCAAATAATCGTTTGTTGCAGCCCTAATGCTGATAAATGATTGCTTTATACAGGTACACACGTGTAGTGGGATAAATTACCTACATTTTATTTTTTAAGAACTTTGTTTTGTTTTCTTGGTTTTTATTTTCCTGTCTTCCTGTCCCGTCTGTCTCTGATCTTCCTGTCCTGTCCCGTCTGTCTCTGGTCTTCCTGTCCTGTCTGTCTCTGATCTTCCTGTCCTGTCTGTCTCTGATCTTCCTGTCCTGTCTGTCTCTGATCTTCCTGTCCCGTCTGTCTCTCATCTTCCTGTCCCGTCTGTCTCTGATCTTCCTGTCCTGTCTGTCTCTGATCTTCCTGTCCTGTCCCGTCTGTCTCTGGTCTTCCTGTCCCGTCTGTCTCTGATCTTCCTGTCCTGTCCCGTCTGTCTCTGGTCTTCCTGTCCTGTCTGTCTCTGATCTTCCTGTCCTGTCTGTCTCTGATCTTGCTGTCCTGTCTGTCTCTGATCTTCCTGTCCCGTCTGTCTCTGATCTTCCTGTCCCGTCTGTCTCTGATCTTCCTGTCCTGTCTGTCTCTGATCTTCCTGTCCCGTCTGTCTCTGATCTTCCTGTCCTGTCTGTCTCTGATCTTCCTGTCCTGTCCCGTCTGTCTCTGGTCTTCCTGTCCCGTCTGTCTCTGATCTTCCTGTCCTGTCCCGTCTGTCTCTGGTCTTCCTGTCCTGTCTGTCTCTGATCTTCCTGTCCTGTCTGTCTCTGATCTTCCTGTCCTGTCTGTCTCTGATCTTCCTGTCCCGTCTGTCTCTGATCTTCCTGTCCCGTCTGTCTCTGGTCTTCCTGTCTGTCTCTGATCTTCCTGTCCTGTCTGTCTCTGATCTTCCTGTCCCGTCTGTCTCTGATCTTCCTGTCCTGTCTGTCTCTGATCTTCCTGTCCCGTCTGTCTCTGGTCTTCCTGTCCTGTCTGTCTCTGATCTTCCTGTCCTGTCTGTCTCTGATCTTCCTGTCCCGTCTGTCTCTGGTCTTCCTGTCCTGTCTGTCTCTGATCTTCCTGTCCCATCTGTCTCTGGTCTTCCTGTCCTGTCTGTCTCTTATCTTCCTGTCCTGTCCCGTCTGTCTCTGGTCTTCCTGTCCCGTCTGTCTCTCATCTTCCTGTCCTGTCCCGTCTGTCTCTGGTCTTCCTGTCCCGTCTGTCTCTGATCTTCCTGTCCTGTCTGTCTCTGATCTTCCTGTCCTGTCCCGTCTGTCTCTTATCTTCCTGTCCTGTCTGTCTCTGATCTTCCTGTCCCGTCTGTCTCTGGTCTTCCTGTCCTGTCTGTCTCTGGTCTTCCTGTCCCGTCTGTCTCTTATCTTCCTGTCCTGTCCCGTCTGTCTCTGGTCTTCCTGTCCCGTCTGTCTCTCATCTTCCTGTCCTGTCCCGTCTGTCTCTGGTCTTCCTGTCCCGTCTGTCTCTGATCTTCCTGTCCTGTCTGTCTCTGATCTTCCTGTCCTGTCCCGTCTGTCTCTGGTCTTCCTGTCCCGTCTGTCTCTTATCTTCCTGTCCTGTCCCGTCTGTCTCTGGTCTTCCTGTCCCGTCTGTCTCTGATCTTCCTGTCCTGTCCCGTCTGTCTCTTATCTTCCTGTCCTGTCTGTCTCTGATCTTCCTGTCCCGTCTGTCTCTGGTCTTCCTGTCCTGTCTGTCTCTGATCTTCCTGTCCTGTCTGTCTCTGATCTCCCAGTCCTCCAGAAAAACTCCTGCCTGCTTCCTTCTTTTTCACCTCACAAGTAACTTTTTAACTAGCAGATCAAATTGATCTATTGACCGCTAAAAAAGCGGAGTGTGCGCCGTGCTGCCCGGCTGCGCCAGTGACGAGCGCGTCCACACGTCACGCTCAAACACAGACAGAACTTACCAGAGAGAAAATGAACGGACACGAACGACTGTGTGTTAATTATGTATTTTTGGTGACGCCACTTAGAAACAGAACATGTGACTGTGGCCGTGTGCAGAACGCAGCTGGAGTTCATGAACGATTAGCGGTCTGCCTGCCGCTCTGCCCAGAAGATCCCCGCTACGCTGAGTCCATATAAATAACATAATACTGGTAGAAACTGGATCTGTTTTGTAAGTGAAGAGCATCGGGGGAGCCTGACCTTTAAGGAGAACCAAGTTGCTCTCCTGTAATCTGAACCCAGAAATCCAGCTCCGGATCAGGGCTTGGATCGGGAAGTAAAGCCCGAGTCCCGATCTGTCTGAAACCACGTGATCGGGCCGATTTCCGATCATGTGATGGATCGGGACGTCCCTAACACACACTCACACACATGCACACACACACATGCACATTCACACACGCATGCACACACACACACACGGACCCACACATGCACATTCACACACATTCACACACACACACACACACACACACACACACACACACACACACACACACACACACACACACACACATGCATTGCCTTCTAGTGAATACATTTCCTACTTCCAGCTTCGCTCCTGCTTCTTCACTCAGAGCAGAAACACTTTACATGACTAACGTAGATTTTTATTTTGTTTAGTGACAAAAGCTAAAAGATTGTGTTGAATTTGTTGTGCAACCAATAAAAACAGATCAAACAAAGCCATTTCAAGTTGAATATAAGGACTTATACAAGACTTGTGTCTGCAGGTGGACAGCGACACGATTTGGAACGAGGTCCATTCGTCCGCTGCTGCTCGTCTGGCTGTCGGCTCTGTGGTGGAGCTCGTTTTCAAAGTAGCATCGGGAGAGCTGAAGGTTGGTTTTCCACTCTGTGGAGTATCCACACAGAATAATGTTTTACATTTGGGTGCTTTTCATGAATATTAACATTTATTAGGATACATTAGCCTTCTCAGTGGCCTAGTGGTAGAGCGTTCGCCCTGGGACTGGAGTATGGGGTTCAAATCCTACTCGGGTCATACCCAAGACTGAAAATGGGCCCCAGTCCCTCCCTGCTGACACTCAGCATTAAGGGGTTGGATTGGGGGGTTAAACCACAAAGTCGAGCGTGGCCGCAGCTGCAGCTCACCGTTCTCCACGGGGATGGGTCGCATGCAGAGATGAATCTCACCCGTGTGTGATGACCAATGGGACTTCAACTAGAACTTTTTCTATCCTTCAGCTGACAAAATGTAAGAAAACGTAAGACTATCAGTAAAGGTGTATTATGTAAAAGTGACATCCTGTGGTAAAATGTGCTTACTGCAACCACTTTCAGCAACTCTGGAGCGTTGTGCCCTCTCTCGTCAAATTACAAATGTCGGCTTTGCGACATTAGCTCGCAGGAGACTTGCACCTCCACGCTCACTGATGGTGAGCAGTAGTTATGTCCCTCCTTCCTTGTTTTGAAAGGAGAAAAGCAGACGATCCCCACAGCCAGTTGGGTATGAAATATGTGTCGATATAACCTTCCTTCCAAAACGAAATCAAACATTAGCCCGCACATAAAAGGAAGTGACGCCACGAGCAGCTGGCGGCTCTGACGAAGGCGGAAGTTCCTACCGAAACATGTCAGCCGAAGGTAAAGAGACCTCTAATTACTTCACTGTTAAATCAGAAAAAATACGCTAATTATGAATCCACACACAGAACAAATATACAGAAGAGACTGAAACATTAGGCTCGTAAAATTCTCACTATATTCTTACATACTGCACCATTAAACTGCTGTTGCAATGTTAAATGTTTAAACCAAAAACAACAGCTTCAAACAACAGTCAAAAACTACACAGTTTCAGAATTTTCAAGAAGTTTCTAAATGTACTTCTCTGCCATTTATGCAGTTTTTAACTTATTTCACTAAAAACAAAATGTGAAATAATAAAGTGCAGGGGTCTCATTTATCAAACATGGCGTAGAATCCTTACTAAAAATGTACTTAAGCTCAGCAAAATAATATTCTTACGCCAAGCAGGTGTGTGATCTATCAAACATGGAGTACGCACAGCTGCACGCAATCTCCGCTTCATAAATCAGAGACTAACGAGAATATTTCTCAGCTGCATTTCAGTCACATCCCGCCCTCACCACGCCCACTTACTGCCATAAATGGTCAATGCAAAGTGCCTTGTGGACCTCATGCATATACATAAGCCGGCTGTTGCAGCGCTCCGCCAATGACATGGCGACCGTAGATCAAGGCAGATCAAGGAAGCAGAAGTTGAGGTACGTGTGGGTGAGGTGGAGACATGAAAGGAAGTGCTTTTGCAAAACAAATAAGAGAAAATCCATGGAGTGGCACAGCGTTGCTGAAGCCGTCAATGCTGACTTCTTCAGAGAGATCTGTGGTGGATATAAAAAATGGTCCAATCGGGATTCGATCTCCAGATTCCCGGGTGAAGGTCACGCGTGGTAACCAGTCACCCAATCAGAGATCTCCCCTGTACAAGTAGCCAGGTGTGGATGATCAATCGGGTCACAGTGACAGGACACACACCGTCACAGACGCATGATGTTCTGTCTCAATCTGTCCCCCTGCTGATATTCTGCATTCTGCACTGCAGTGTGTGTGTGTGTGTGTGTGTGTGTGTGCGTGCGTGCTTGCGTGTGTGTGTGTGTGTGTGTGTGTGCATGTGGGGGTCTTGTTCTGTGTGAAAACGAAGCGGTACAAGTGATAATGCTGCAGGATTTCTCAGCAGCAGCACTGCAGGTGCTCTCCACGTCCAGCATGTGTGTAAGCCAGGTCCTTAGTCAGCTTAAAGTTGTGCACATTTTTCTGTTAAGTTTTCTGTCATAAATCCCAAAGTTTGCGTGGAAAGTTGCTTACGCAGTTTTCCGACCCCGTTTTGTGCGTAAGCAAGCTTGATAAATGAGGCCGCTGATATTTAGTCGTTGTGGCAAAGTCCTTGATATGTTTTCTCGTGGAAATGGCTTTTCATGACTTCAGCTGCAGCTTAGAGAAAAGGTGGTTTACCTCTGAAGTTCACAGCGTCTGTCAGGCTGCAGGTGACCTGCAGGCAAGAGAGGCAAAGCAAAGCAGCTGCAGTTTGTCCGTCTTTATTTAATGAAATCCGTCCAGGTGCTCAAAGAAAAACTGAGATAAAAAAATTAAAATAATAAATGTACAAAACCACTTTAATGAAAAAAGAAAATAAGCATGTTTGTTTATACGAGGAAAGAATTGAAATGTAGTTATTCCTTATTTTCCATAATAATTGTTAAAATAATCTAGTTAGCCTTTTTTCCTTCCGTTTTTACACGTTGGCTTAAGTTTGAGTAGACATGCTGCATAACATCAGCAAACAACCAGTGAAAGTCAGAAACCTTCATCAAATAAACAGTTAAAATGGTCTCCTGGTGTGTTTGTGAACATTCGTTGTGCTCCACCTTCAGATGATTCCAGAAATTCAGCCGCTTCCCTCTCAGCTCATTTTCTGCTGATCTTCACGTCTCCACACAGCTTTGCATCGTCTTTAGTATTTATCACGCCTCCTCCCTCCATCATTAGCACGTTCCAGACAGTCGAGCCCACCCTTCAGCGCCCTGCTCCACCCCCTCCTCTTCATGTGTCTGTGGCGATGGCAGCTTGCTGTTTGAGCCCAGCAGCGAGGCCCGGCTCTGCAAACACCAGCAGGCTCCACTAACGGGCCTTCTTTACTAGAGTTACACCGAAGCCACCTGCCCAGCCGCCGCCCCACTTAGCGCTAACTTAGCACCGACGCACCGCAGACTAATGGCATTCCTGAGAGGGAGACAGTAGCACGCCATGCAGACACCCGCATGGTTTTCCAGGCTTGGATCGACATCATTCAGCCGTCTTGTTGATGTCGTGTTCTCTTCTGCGCATTTGTCAACGAACGCAAAAGGAAAAGCAGGTGTTGAACAGCCCCATGTGCGAAGGCTCGTACGCCCACACAAACCCACCCTGATGCAGACGGTCCTCCGAGGCTCCTCCGCAGCTGAAACCTCCACCTGCACCAGCAACTCCGTGAACTCCACATAAATCTACCGGGGGACACACAGCCTGCGCCCCTCCTTGTTTCGCCCCCTCATTTAAAGTTGTCATTCTAGTTTTAGGGAAACAATTCCCCCTCTCATGATCCCCGCTCTCAAACACAGGATGTGATGTCCTCAAATCAGCGGAGGCAGTTGTCGCTGGAGCAATCCTCCGGCTGGCTGCTAACACACCACAGCTGACTCAACATCATTAGTCCAGCGCGCCTCGCTCTGCGTCGGCTCTAACGTCCATCTAATGTCCCCGTGAAGCAGCGGGAGCTGGGAGTGCTGCCTGAGCTGACCTGACACCAGCGTCTGTTTCTGTGTGTGTGTGCACACACACCCAGAGAAATAAGTCAGGGGGCATTATTCTGATTTCTGGTATCGATGAGGCCGGACGATCCCGTTACGATGTGAGCTTGTATGGTGTTTGGTGACTAAGGGGCTGTTTTCTCTTGCAGAATGGCTTCGCTGTAGTTCGCCCACCTGGACACCACGCTGAGGAGAGCACACCCATGTGAGTTGAGAAAGACCACGTCAGGTAAACTTATAATTATAACATGTTACTAGATCCTGGTTCATTGATGCCCGTCTCTTTTAGGGGCTTCTGTTATTTCAATTCTGTCGCCGTAGCAGCCAAGCTCCTGCAGCAGAGGCTGAACGTCAGTAAGATCCTCATCGTGGACTGGGTGAGTTCACGCTGAAACTTCTTGACTCGCTTTGAAGCAACACTAAATAAGTTTCCCGCTTCCTCCTCCTACTGGCTGGAAGCGGAATTACAGCTGTCATAAACAAACCCGCTGCAGTCCACTGTAGCTAGCGCTAACAACAAGCTAAGGCTAACATGAGCTAATTGGTACTAACATTAAAACATGAAGTAGGAAGATCAACACTGTTGGACAACAAAGCCAGGTCACCATCAGTTTGTGGTTTTGTAGTCTCCTTTAGCTCCCTCACACTATAGCGTTGCAAGCCTGCACGGATGTTCACTCCGGTTTTAGCTCTTTGCGTCTTCTCCAAAGACATTACTCTCTTACTTTTACTTCCTGACACCGCCATGATGCCAACAGGAAAGGGGAACTTCTTTATCTCCCTGTGTTTTTTTATGGATTCCATGCTGTAGTTCTTTTTTAAAACACAGAACAGTTTTGTTTACCCGTTTCCCGCTAAAGTTTCGTTTGCGGCTACAAACTTCCTCAGGCTGACGCTGATGGTGGCGTCACTTCCTTCTCGGTTTATCCGCGGGCAGCAGAGGATGACGCTGTCGCCCTCTGCTGCCCGCTCTCCCCTCTCCGACGATGCAGTCCCATGGGCGGTCCAACGTGTAGACTCCATCGTCCCTGTTCATGGTCCCACACCCACGTCTCCTTATCTTTATCTTTTTATTGACGGTTAGCAAACTGAAAAAGCTAACTGCTATCCATATTAGCTACTGGCACAGTAAACAGGTGCTGTCAGAAAGCAAGTAAAGACCTCCCACTAGTGATCCTACCCAGTCCACAAAACTGTTTCTGGTCATCAGAGGTGATCAGATGTGCTGGCCAGTGCTAAGCTGCTCAGGTTTCTAGCTCAGGAACCACTGACACCAGTTCAAAGCAGATCTGGGACGACGATGCAGAGGAACCATGGTCCAGAGGATAACATCCTAGCTTTAGTCGTTTCTGATTCCTCCTTTTGACTTGAAAG